AAAAGATAAGAAGAGAGATAGATTCCTAACAACATTCCATCAGAACCTGAGTCCAGCCACCCCTGGACTCCCAAACCAAATCCATTGCCATCGAGTCGATTCCAACTCAAAGGGACCCTGCAGGACAGAGTAGAACTGCCCCATAGGGTTTCCAAGGCTGTAAATCTTTATGGAAGCAGATTGCCACATCTTTCTCCAGTGGAGCAGCTGGTGGGTTTGAACTGCTGACCTTTTGGTTGGCAGCCAAGTGCTTTAACTACTACACCACGAAGGCTCCCTCTGGACATACTACCAGGGACTTTTTCAATTACATTTATTCCCTCTGGGTTTGTTATTGGTTGTTTGCCGAAGCTAGTTTGAGGTGAGTTTATGACACTTGCAATGGTAAGAGTCCTGTCATTCGTTCATTCAACAAGTGTATATTGACATTAAGTTCTACGGGAGTCCTAAAAAGGAAATTAGTATGACTGGGGTGGATCTGGGGAAGAGGTTGGTTCAAGAGGGGAGGTGAAGGTAAACAGGTCATTCCAGACAGAGGGAACAGCCTGAGCAAAGACCTGCAGACCTGAAAGTGTGTGGCCCATTTCTGGCCAATAGAGTTCCTAAAAAGCATGTTGAAGAACTCTGTGATAGTTAAGATTGTGTGTCAACTTGGCTACGCCATGATTCTCAGTGTTTCGGCAGTTGTGTGATGTTGTGGTCACTTCCCTATTGGGATTTGATGTGTGATTGCCCCCATGATGGGATCTGCTGTGAGTAGCCAATTGGTTGAGGGGAAGGTTCCTTGGATGTGTGGGCTGCGTTGAGTTGGGGGGTGGGGAGGGGCATTCTGGCAGGGCTGGGGGCTTTTGCTCGTTCTGAATCCTGCACCTGGCTCCTGTTCGTCTGACCTCTGATTCTTGGCACTTGAGCTAGCAGCTTACCTGCGGTCATGCCTGCCGATCTTGGGATTCATGGATCTTCAGTCTGTGAGCAACAGCCCTGCTCTCCAACCTGCTGATCTTGGTTTTGCCAGCCCCTGCGGCTACGTGAAGCAGGAGAAGCCTCTATTCTGACCCACAGGTGGGACGTTACAGCCTCTACAACTGCGTGAGCCATTTCCTTGATATAAATCTCTCTATATATATATTTATATGCTTTATTGGTTTTGCTTCACTAGAGAATCCTGCCTAAGACAAACACCAAGAACTCGGGCAAGGACCAGATTCTTAAGGGGCTTTGTGAGCCATGCCATGGAGTTTAATACTTTGACCAAAGGAGTGTGTTTTAAACTGTAGCATCTGTTTTCTTTTTTAAAAAAATGTATCTCTGGCATGTGGAGAATGGATTAGAAAGAGGAGAATCTAAAGTCAGTTCAAATAATCCAGGCAAGAGCAGATGCACGTCTGGACTAGTCCACTACAGATTACAGCTCTCTTCTCCTGGCCCTATGGAAAGTTACTTCTTAGGAATAAGGACTCTGGAGGTGCCATTTAGAGACCTAATAAGTAAATCTGAGGTTGTAGAGGATTTTCCTTAGATCCCAGGTAACATTTAATAGGATCCTTTGGGAGACAATATCCCTGGTTTATTGTCTGATTCTAACACTGATGGTTGGTAGGCAAGCTCACGACTGGTTGGTGGAAAAGATGCTTTGTGTGAGTGGGACCTTGACAATTTCACTGATGCCTACGACCATCCCTCCTTCCCTCAGACACAGGAGAAAGGGAAAGGAGTCAGTCTGGAGGATCTTCTGGAGTGGGGAACCAGCATGGATGTAAAGGAGGAATGCCATGATGCAGGGGCCAGCAGAAAAGTGTTTGTTCAGAGAATTAGGACCACTGTAACAAAACTGTGGGCTGAATAGAACTGAGCAGGAGAGGTATAGGAAAGCGGCTCGGCTGTAATTGAAAGTATGGTGAAGAGTAGACCAGTGAGAGAGGGTGGCTTGTGGAAGAGGAGGGGGAGGGGGCCAGGAGCCTTATTCCTGTGGGCGAGAGGGGCCTTTCCTGGCTTCCCTCGGGTTTGTTACTCCACAGCTGGTGTCCTGGAGTCATTCCCTGCTTCTCAGAGCTGCACATCTGGATCCCAGAGGAAGAAGGATCCTTGGCATATCTCTCCTGGCAGGAGGAAAGTTTCCTGGCTCCCTGGCTCTGAATTTTCAGCATCATTTTCCATTTCTCTTGGTGGGAAGCCAACCCTTTCTGGGGGATTCAGAGCTCTGGATTTTCCTATGCTTGCTGCTGATGGGCAGAGGGGTGGAGGAGGAAGTATGGCTCATTAGGAAGGACTCAGCTTGTCTGAGGTAGTGGCAGGAGGCTGGAGTGGAACCCCAGAAATGACATTATTCTTATCAGGGCCCCCCTTCTCCAGGTGATTCTAATGCAGGCAGATTCTGATGCTCTAGGAAACCCATACCTGTTGACAAGTGGGGCAGGCAGCTCAGGGGAAGAAAGGCTGTACAAATAGTGAAATAGGTGCCCATCACAGGGTTGTGGGGAAAATTAAGTACACTGTATGAGCGTGACTGGCATATGACACGAACCAGCACTCTTTCCCTGTGACATTCAGCCATCTGGATCACAGGGCCTCTGACTTTTCCCCTCCTCTAGGGTGCTCCTCCAGACCTGTGATTCTGGAGTGTGTTTAGGGGGAGCCCAGGCTGAGGAGAGTAACTGTGTATGCCTGGAGGACGGATGTCCTGGCCGCCGGCAAGTGGATCCAGGCAGCACAGGGTAGAATGGAAGTTAGACAGTGAGCCAGGCTGCCTGGCTTTGGATCCCAGCTCAGCCACTTACCAGCTATGTGACTTTGGACAAGTCATTCCATCTCAGTTTCCTCATCTCTAAAATAGGGATGGTGATGTAGACTCTACATCATGTGGCTATTATGAGATTAAATGAGCTGATGTGTCTAAGTGCTTAGAACAGTTCCTGGCAGATAGTAAACAAAAACCAAACCAAATTCGTTGCTGTCGAATTGCTTCCGACTCATGGTGACCCCATGTGTTACAGAGGAGAGCTGCTCCATAGGATTTTCTTGGCTATGATCTGAACTGCCAACCTTAAGGTTAATAGACAAGCGCAAAACGATTGTGCCGCCCAGGGATGTGGCAGATAGTAAGAGCTCAATAAGTTGGCTATTATTGTTATCCCTCCCCCTGCAGGCAAGTGAGGCAACTTTATACCAGCAGTCCTCTCTCTCTCCCTCCTTCCCTCCCTGGCTCGCTCTTCCTCAACCTCAGTAACTGCCTCTGGAGAATACAGTCCAACACAGACCCTTTTAGAAAAGCAGGTTTATTGGTCGGGCTGCTCACCAGGACACAGCAACGTGAGAGGCTCCCCAGAGCCCACAGGAAACTGCATCTGCCCACAGCTCAGCCCCCTTCAGCCCATCAGCACCAAGGGACCTTGTCCCACAATCCCCCCTCCTCCCTCAGCTGACATGTCTCCAACCATTCAGAGGAGAGAAGGGAACCAAGAAAAGGAAAAAAAAAAAAAAAAAAAGCAAAGCCTTGTATTGTATAAAAGGTCTGTGTCCCCAGTCTCCCTCCTGGAGTCTTCTTTCCCTCCCCCCATCCCTTAAAACAATTAGCTGCAATTCCAAAGTGCAGAGCTAGGAAAATAAGGTGGGGGGTGGGGGAAAAGGAGGAGGCCCTCTCTCTTTGGGCTTTGACTGGATAGGAGAGGTGTTGTCCTTGCTTCTGACGAGGAGCCACCTTTAATGAGGGACTGAAGTGTCCAAGGGAGCACCTAGCCAGTGGACAACAGAAACCAGGCCCTCACACTGGATGCAGGAGCCCCTCACCCCCAAAGATTTAGGAAAAGCACACACAGGGGCACAAACCAATAAGGTCCTGGCAAGTTCTACAGCATTTGGATCTAGCTCTAGGGAAGGATCTTGAAAAGAATTGCCAGGAGTGAGCCAGGGCTGGATCTGCTCAATACACGGGGATACTGCTCTTCCCAGCTGCTCTCCAGCTCTCAGCTCGGGAGCCTGCCCTTTGGTACTTTGCTCCTTCCAGTTGGCCTCCTTCCTAACTCCCAGCTTTCCACAACCTGCTGCTGCCCCTTTCCGGGACCCTAATTTTTCTGGGCTTTCAGAAATGGGCTTGCCCCAGGGGCATCACCCAGACCTCAGTTGAAAGGTCGGGTGAGGTTTACCTCTCCCTTCTCTGTTGATCATTGCTTTCTCATGCTATCTCCTCCACGCCCCTCCCCTCCCGATCCTGAAAATAATCCTGCTGTCCTTTGAGAACCCCAGTAAGATAGGATTCTTGTCCCATGTTTCTTATGCTAGTAGTAAGGGGAATTCTCTTCTCTTCACCCATTTCCACCTTCTCCGACTATTTTCCCATTCTCCTTCCCAAAGCCATAGCCGCGTGCTCCTGGGTGCAGGTGCATAAGCATGTAAGTGTTCTTCACCTCCCCCACCCCGGGCTCTAGCCTTCCTTGCTGGGACCCATTGCAGACATAGCCTGGGCTGGACCCTCACCCAGTGTCATGACTCACTCTGCCCTCTCTCCCTCAGTTTTCCCCCAAAGCTGCGTTCATATCCTCCCAGTAGGGGGGCCTCCCATGTAGACAAGGGTCTCCGTAGGGTTCACTCTTTTCTCTAAGGATGATTTTGGCTTCGAAGCCTCCAGGGACCAGGATGAGGAGGCAGAAGAGCTCTGTGAGCAGGAATGACAGCAGCTGGGTGTAGGGGTGGGGTGGGGGTGGAGGGGTGAAGGGAAAGGCAGCATGTCCCAAGCGGGCCCAACCACGGAAATGACAGTAACTTCCTCTAGGACCCCCAGCTTCGACAACCAGGGAATTGATCACTCTCCTCCACATTTCCACCCCAACTGTGCCCAAACTGGGGCTGTGCATTGTGGGGGCTGCCTCCCCTCCCACATTTTTTCTTTTTGGACAGCTATAAGACTTGGATGGGGTGCTTCTTGAAGGGAGGTGATTTCAATTTAGTAAAATCTCAGCCAGTTTGGGCTGTGAGAGAATGCGAAAGAGAAAAGTTCGGAAAGGGGCAGGGGAGGAGAGAGACAGGGCGAGGCGGCGCGGCCTTCCCGGGCAGAGGCCCGTGCCCGGCTCAGTCGCTGTCGCTCTTGTCCACCAGCACGGCGTCCGACTCCTCTGTGATCTCCAGCAGCGTGTGCACATCTGGGCTGCTCCCGCGCAGCAGGTCAGCGGCCTCGCTGTGCTCCGCACCGCCCTCCTCCTCGTCGGCGCCCACCTCCACCATCTCGGTGGCCTTCAGCACCTCCACCTCACCCTTGCGGATCTTCTTGACATGGAAGGTGAAGGGCGGCACCTTATACACAGCGGTCTTGGAGCGTGCGTATACCACGTGGTCGGGCGTGAAGGACTTGCGCAGCTTATCTCTGGAGGTTTTAAGCTTCTCACGCCGCTCGGCTGGGACGAGGCGCGTGCCCAGCTTGTTCATGCGCTTCTCCAGCGTGTGCCGCGTCTTCTCCAGGTTCTCGCGGGTGCGCACCTTGGTCTTCTCCATCTTCTCCTTGGAGAAGGCTTTCTTGAAGTCGTCCACGCGCCGCAGGCCACTGCGCTTGATGCGCTCGGCGCGCGACTCCTCGATGACTTCCTCCACCTCCACTGCCTCGTCGGACGATAGCTCCACCGCTGCCGCGTCCTCGGGCCGCTCGCCCTCACCCAGCTCATCGCCCTCCTTCTCGGGCAGTGCCTCCGAGTCCTTCAGTGACTTGCTGATGCTCAGCTTGGCGGGCAGCTTCACTTCATCCTAAGAAGAGAGGAGAGATGACGTGAGGGAGAGAGGAAGGGGACTTGGGGCCGGGGGGGGTGGGGGGGAGACGCTAGGCGAATACCAGCCAGGGTGGTGGCGATCCTGCAGAGTGCGTGGAGAGAAGAGGAGGAACCTCGTGGTACAGTGACATCGACCTGGACTTGCTCGCCGTTGCATCCCCAGCACCTGGCACAGAGCTGGACACACTGTGGGCGCTCAGTAAATGCGCTGAATGAATGTTTACTATACAGATGGCGCGAGGAAGGAGGGAGAGACATTGTGAAAGAACTGAGCTTTTTGGTGGGCATCACAGGTCAGAGACTGACCTTAATTATCATTGCATATCGGCTAAATATCTCTGGGGTTTTCCAGGCCTGTCCTTGCATCCTATATCCATCCCCCTTAACACTAAACCACTGTTTTTACCCTTTGCGGTCCCAGGGACCACTTGACTTTGGAAATGGGCAGAACGCCCTCTGGTGGCCTGAGTCAGACACTGTCCGAGCCAAGCCATAAAGAAAAGAGGTTTGGGAAAAGTCTTGTTTAGCTCGAGTCTGAGTTCTGGTGGCGCAGTGGTTAAGAACTTGGCTGCTAATCAGAAGGTGCGCAGGTCGGATCCATCAGCCCTTATTTGGAAGCCCTATTGGGCAGTCCTACTTTGCGTTAAAGGTTCGCTATGAGTCGGAATCGACTGGCAAGTTGTTTTTTTCTGAGGTTGACAAGTGGAGACAGAGGGATGAACTCAAGCCAGTGTCAGGAGGCCCCCCAAGTAGGGTAGCTTGAAGGCAGGGTAAAGAGAGAGCGTCTCCCAAACCCATACCATTTCAGAACAGGCCTTGAGGAAGGAGGGCTGTGGCCTACCCGCCCCCCCATTACCGCCCCGCCCCCCTCGCTCCCCGCCCCCCATACTGTTTATTTTCACGGGTGGTCATTCTTTTTCTCCCCCATGAAGTAATTAACGGAGCAATTAACAGAGAAAGCTGGCTGGGAGTCACGGACATGTTTTTTCCCCAGTCCGGACATTTCTCCTCCTGGCTCTGACTTGCCTGCCTTGGAATGGAGGGGAGAGATTACTTTTCCATTCTTGCTTTTTTTTTCCCCCTAGATCTGATCTCAAGGGGCCCGGAGTAGGATCGTCGTCCCAGATTCCTTGTGGTCCTGTGATAGGAGCCAGTTTTTCCCTCACCCCCTGGGAGGATCCCTGCACCAGCTTTCCAAGAGGCTGACTCTGGACCAACATGTCAGAATCTCAGAACCATCCCCACCAGAAGGCAGGTGAGCCTTCACACAGAAAGGGAGAGTGGGCATAACTCAGGACAAAAACAGGATCTCCTCTTTGTCCCAGGCTCTCTAGGGACTTCAGACGACAGAATGAGAGACAGTAGTTTTTATAGAGGGTTTTCTGAAGATTGTTTCCCAGAATTGAAAGAAAATACCATCTCCATACCATCTCCTGAGAAAATGAGGCAGCATGAGCTGACCCCTCTCATCGACACACACACACACACACACACACACACACACACACACACACACACACACAC